CAACAACACCATTGAAATTACCAGAAATAAAGAGATCAAAGAAAACCCAGTAGCATTTTATGAAAGCCAGGAAAAAACTACAGCAACAACACCATTGAAATTACCAGAAAGAAACAGACTAAATCGGCTCCTGTATCCATATCTATGGCGGTGGGCTAAGGGCTTGGGTAAACGTGGTTGATGATGACCTTGTTGGCGTTTGATGTGGTTTCAGAGGCTCCAACAGAAGCTGAAGGACTATTAGTATCATCTGAAACAGAGCAAAAGCATTGGACAATTTTATCAAACATCATCCTCAGCACGGACCTCTTCTTTGCCGGGAGGACACTTCCAGGTTTTGGTTTGAACGACTGCCATGGCTCAGCCTTGCTTTGATCTTCAGATGGGATTGAGTTCAGCTTCATGGGCTCCTTTGGGTGGTGCTCTGTTTTGGAGCAGAGGAGGTCTTCTTCCCCATCTGGGTTCAAGTGCTTCAACGCCTTCTCTGCATCTACAGTTTCCTTCGTTGCCATCTCTCTCTTTCTCTCTTTGTGAATGCGTGCTTCCTTCCTTCTGTGTTCGCTTAAATAGAGATCTTTTTAGTGGGATAAGAATTGTCTGGGATAAGTCCTATCCTATGTTTGGTGGGGTGCTAGACTGGGAGGGACTAAGGGGAAGATCTGCACTCTACTCCTTAGGCCATTAGCCAAAAATTCCTTTCCCACCAATGTAAATTTGAGATGGGAAGAATTCCAGTCTGGTTTGCCTGGACCGGAATATTTTGTGGACACCGACTCGCGCTGCAGAGTCCACTTTTGTTTTTTTTGGGGTTGGAATAGGGAAAAATGGAGCGGGAAACGTTGCTCCTCTCCCTTTGCGTCTGCATGACAAGTGTTCGTGGTTGTTTCTTTCATTTTTTATATATTAAACTTGCCTGGAAGGTGCAAGGAAAGCCCCTGTTTAGGCCTTTGTTTTCTTAACACAATTACCGATCTTTTATCAAATTTTATTGAGGCCCTTTTTATGTTTTTCTTATCTCTCTTTTCACACTACTATTACTGTTTGATCTTAAAGTCTAACAGAATCTTGACAACTTCGAATTGAATCAGAAATAAAGTCTAACAGAATTTTGACAACTTCGAATTGAATCAGAAATAAAGTCTAACAGAATTTTGACAACTTCGAATTGAATCAGAAATAAAGTCTAACAGAATTTTGACAACTTCGAATTGAATCAGAAACATTCTTTTGACCAAAGAGGAACCTTCCTATATATTTCACCATGAAGGTATACTAGGAATTATAACATCTGAAGAAGTTATTGACTAGGTCCTCTCTTCAGTTTTTGTAATAACCCGATTTTTAATTAATTTTTAATTATTAATTTATTATGAAGGTATCGCTCTTTTGGCCTTTGCTTGTTGAGTGATTTGCCTTCAAAATTTTAAAAATTGTACTGCTAGACTTGTATCATTGACATCTTAATTAGTAACAGGTTGCCCAATTGCACAGTTAAATTTACAACATATAATTCTTGTTTTCTACAATTTCTCCTTCTAATTTTCACTTTTTATCGATATGAGAAATTTGAGTTCTCCATTAGTAGTTCTATGGTGTGGTATGAGGATCCTCTCTTCTAGGGCTGTATTATTTCTTAGTCTAATATAATATTAATTTCTCTCAAATACAGAAGTTACATTTTTGTTGGTTTCATTGTTTTGTATAAATATGAGCTTTGTCTTCTTTTGCCCAATTACCGCATATCTTAAGAGTATAATAAAGAAGAGGGAGTTAGAATTCGAACTATTATGACGTTGGGAGGATTTGTGTTTAATTATTCCTTTCGTTACAAATTAAGGAGGCCAAATATGAAGAACCAAAATTCAAACCCTAACATACAGATGTGAGTTAGAGCAATTAGTCAAGATAATGTCCTCGTTCCTTTGCATCCCAATTAGATCTCCCCTTTCTGTATATTAGTTAGAATATCACTTTGTGAAAAAGAAAAAGTAAATCCAAACTCTAACATTGGGTGCAGAGATTCATTTGATCTTACAAAAGTTGCAAATAAACAAATTAGCAAAAACAAAATGTAAGATATAGCATCAAACGAAACAAGTTGTGAGAAAATGCTATAATAATTTCATTTAATGATGAGTAGATATTTAAAATAATAGAGGATAATAATCAAAATTATTAGGGATTTTGTATTAAGTAAAAAAAATTCAAATGTCATTTTAATATTTGAGGTGCCCTCTGTACAAAGTTTTTCGCTCCGCCATTGAGTAGAATGATGAGATTTACGATGATAACTATTCAATTGCACGTGCCACACACACACACGATGCTACCCAAATCAATCAAGCGGTTTCCCACTTTTTTTTTCCTTTCTTTTTTTTTATGTTTTTGTTGGATGAGTGTCCAGTCCAATCCAAAAGATCATGATTAAACTAAAAAATGGTACCATTAATTTAAAACTCTCTGCTTAATTTATTTGTTCTGATGGCTTTGTCCACCTAATTAAAGTTGAATTCCCCATTTCACAAATCCATCCTTTTTCAAATTCGTTATTAAGATTAGTGAAAATTGGTCATAACGAAGCTTGAAGAATCTTGACAACTTCGAAGTGAATCAGAAACATTCTTTTGACCAAAGAGGAAGCTTCCTAGAAATTTCACCATGGAGGTATACTAAGAATTATAACATCTGAAGAAGTCATTGACTAGGTCCTCTCTTCACTTTTTTATTTTCTTATCTTCTGAGTGATTTGCTTTATGACCATCAAACCAGTCTCCTGTCAATTATGAACAATGATTTTGATAAACATAGGAGAAAAGTTTTTCTTAGTGACTGGTTATGATTTGCTCTGCTCTGTTAAGACCTGCCTTTGATTAGGGTTACGGAAAATTGGACTTGTCACTAAGTAGAATAGAAGTGTGGAACAGTAAAAGTTGGTGCTTTCAGTTTTTCTTTTTTGTAGTTTGTATGAAGGGAAAGTAAAAGAGAAAGATGATTCAAAGGCAGATTAGTTAGACAGCAAATCTAACTGCGAAAAGGTTTATTAAAATACTCAGGACTTGACATTTTACAATCTCTCTCAGTCTCATCATAGTTTTTTCCCTTTGGTTTGTGAGGAAGATCCATACATACTCTCGGAAACAATTTATTTTGATGATTCAACAAGCCAATAGCCCAAAAGTAGCAAGATGCACTTGAATTATCTACCTAGCATCATTTGATAAAAGATTGTTCCTTTCAACTGTTCTAACGTTGCACAGCTCATCGACTGAGTCCCCTCTCTCAAAAACTGCAGCAGCCCCCATACCCGAGCCTGCAACAGAGGACACACTCTCAGTCACATCTTATATAATCACAAGCTCTCGGTAACCAGGAAGAAGATGTGTGTGTGTGTGTGTGTGTGTGTGAGAGAGAGAGAGAGAGAGAGAGAGAAACCTATGCACATGGATATCACACCAAAGCGGTGATCCTTGCCACGACGCTTCATCTCATTCAATAGAGTTGCAACACAGCGAGCACCTAACATACATAGATATCACACTTCTATTCACCAAACTTAGAGAAAAATAATAATGTGATTGCATTTCCTCTTTGTTCACTAGTTATATTAGCAATTAAACCAGATGATAGCATTAAACGAAATGTACATGCCTGTTTGTGTCATCACATGTCCACTTGAATTCATAGCTTAGCAGCAAAATATGAGGGAATGTGCAATTTAAGACAAAATTTAACATACCTGTAGCGCCTAAAGGATGCCCTAGAGCAATAGCGCCTCCATTAACATTGACTTTTTCAGGATCAAGCTCCAATTTCTTGCAACAATATACATATTGAGATGCAAATGCCTATAGGAAACCAATAAAACAGCTTAGTTAATATAATTCAAGCCAAACCATATTTATCATGAATGTTATGGACATCATTAGCACTATACTACCTCATTTATCTCAAATAGATCAATATCATCAAGCTCCAGACCAGCAGATTTCACCGCAACTGGAATTGCAGCAGCTGGACCTATTCCCATGACAGCGGGGTCAACGCCAACAGCAGCAAAACTCCTGCATGGAAAGGAGAAAATTGTAATCCAAGGTACAAATCAAGCTTCTGTTAGTTCACAAACAAACTTATCACAAGGAAATAACACCAATTAACACTGACAAGAAAATTAATAAATGACCAAACCTCAAGCAGCTCATCTCTCCACTTATGGTTCATTAATTTGCTATGATTTTTTTGTTTCGATATTATAGTCATTTCAAGAGGCATAATAATCTTCAAAGTTTAAGTGATGAGTTAAATGTTATTTCACAGAAGTATAAATTTCATACCTGAAAACACCAAGAATAGGAAGCCCCTTCTGCATAGCTAAACTTCTCTTCATGAGGAGAACTGCTCCAGCACCATCACTCACCTGGCTAGCATTTCCTAAGAGACAAAAACAATGAACTGATTCACAATGCTTGATACAAGTCAAAAACATCTCACTCAAAAGAAAAAGTTGTGTACAATTAAATGAAGATACTGTCATGGTTTACAAGCAGCGGGCGTCATGACAATCGAGTGATTAAATACCTGCAGTTGTAGACCCATCTGCTTTAAATGCAGGCTTCAGCTTTGCCAAATCATTCATGTTTGCATTTGGCCGGATCCCATCATCCACAGAAATTGTAACAGGCCTCTCCTCTCCAGTTTTTGGATCCACAATCTATGCATACAAGTAGTTAATTACAGAAAAATGAAAGACAGTCACCCAGGATACCAAATTTCTGTGTTTACCTTAGTAGATACAGGGATAATTTCATCTTGGAATTTGCCTGATGCTGTTGCTGCAGCAGCACGGCTATGTGATTCAACCTATACAAATAAATTCATGAAGCTTCAGCATTATGAGTTTATCAAATAGCTATGCATGTAAACAGATAGAAAACTCACAGCAGCTTTGTCTTGCTCCTGCCGTGTCACACCATATCGCTGTGCAACATTTTCAGAGGTAATACCCATGGGAAGAAGGCAGTCACGGGCTTGTGCAAAGATATCTACCTGTTAACAGCATACATTCATCTCAAAAGAACATTCTTCATGTAAAACAAATATAAAGTAAACAACTTGAGATGGAATATACTTTAGGATTAATTTTGTTCATCCTGCCAAGTTTATCAACTGACATGGACTCCAATCCAGCTGCAACACCTGCATTCAAAACAAAGGTCAATTCCATTGATGGAGACCACCTAAAATAATACTTAATCCAGAATATTCTCTCACCGATTTCATAGAATCCGGCTTTTATAGAAGCAGCTACATCAGCAACTGCCTGAAGGCCTGATGAACATTGCCTGTTGACGGTTCTGATGGGAACCGTATCTGGGCAAAACAGATGAATCATACAACTTTAGACTAAAAAAAATATAAATAAATTACTTAAAACACCAAATATAGTCTAAAACTTACCAGGGAAACCAGCATAAAATGCAGCCATCCTGCACTCAGTTGCTCTAAGTGAGCCAGGTGCCATAACCGTACCAACAACTATATCCCCTACTTCACTTGGGTTCAAATTTGTCCTCTCAATTAGTGCCTGCACAAAGAGTAAAACGAATGAAAATTCAGAATAAGATAACTACCACATAATTATGATGGAATTCAAAGAAACATATCCATTCCTCTGGAATTCAGTTGAGAAGTGTATGCTAACCTTTAAAACAGGAGCCAGTAAATCATCAGGTGAAGTATCCTTAAAGCCTCCTCGCTTTGCTTTGCAAATGGCAGTACGGTAGGCTCTATTTAACATGATTTTACAGCAGGGTTTAACATAGAGAAGGCATAAACTCCACCCAAATATACCCCCAAAAAAAAAAAAAAAAAAAGGAATTAAAGAACTTTCTCAGATCAGTTAATTACTCACGCCACAATCACTACATCGTCTCCAAAAGCAGCTGTTCTGTGGTACGCAGCACTATCCCCAGCAGCACATATTGAAGCCTAACAAACAAATTATGAAGAAAAAAGAATCAGCTACATAACATAAAGCAAAATTAGGTACAATCAAAGTTTCATTCTTTTTTTTATGAAACTGAAAAGGAAGAGAATTGAAGAGAAAATAAGCTGGAAACAAGAACACCAAGTAAAGAGTCACTACAATTAAATCCGATTATCGAAAATGGATATAAACTTACAGACAGGGCAGCAGATTGATGGGTTTCAGGAGGAGCAGAGGAAAAAGAAGAATTGGGCAACAGATGCTGAAGCAGAACACGCTGTCTGTTATGCGCTTTCTCCATCTCTCTCTCTCTCCAAAATGAATTGCAGAAAGCTCTTTCAATCAATCACACACTGTGGAGCAGTAACACATTAATCAATGGTTTATGCGTTTTTATAGTTGAAATGAGGTTGGCCTATTGAATTTCCAAGTAAACATTAACCACAAGACGAACCCACTTAGTCAACTGCAAAGGGCAATAATAAGACCCCATGTGCTCGGTGGCTGCCTGGGAAAATACAAGGAAACACCCCACGTTTTTCACAGCAACCAAACGTTTGGCTTGCTCAGTTGCTGCTTCTCTCTCTAGTCTCTACCAACTTTTTTTTATATTTTTTTGTGGTGCCATGCCATAATCTTTTCATTTCCATTTGATTGGAAAACCATTACGAATTCCCATTTGAGGCCACTTTTAAAACCATTATGAATCCTTTTCTTTTCTAGTAGAAAACAAAGCAAAATCATTGACTGAAGGCTGCGCTGCAAGTTCATTTATTTTTCCTTTATTTTCGCCTTTTGGACCCATCATTATCAAAGGTTGGTGAATGCAGGTCTTCGGTGACCAGATAATTTCCGGTGAGCGTGTTTCTTTTTTTTTTCACACTGAGCATCAATAATAAGAAAAGAAAAGGGGCCGGATAAACCAAAGCTCTATGGATTTCTGTGTATATACATATGGACAAACGTTTCTCCAGCCAAAAAGATGGACACCAAACTTGGGAGAAAACTGTAGATGGTCTCTTGCTTGCATGCTAGTATGACCCGGTGTTTCTTTTACAAAAGAATAAAAAAAATATGATCTCTTTATCAACAGAAGAACGAATCAATAGACCATCAAATTGTGGGGATAAACTGATCAGCCTCAAAGTTTTGTTCCTCAACCACGAGGGTTTCCATTGGAGATACTAGAGAAACCCAGTACCTGAAGAACGTCAAACGTTGGGCTTCATATGTCTTGTCTGATTCTGAGGTGCCTTTGCCTGAAGTGCATTAGACATAGCTCGCAATCTGTTAGTTATCTCAGTGAATGATGGCCGGATTTCAGGATCAGGTGACCAGCACTGTTCCATCAGACTCCTCCACTCGGAATCACAACGTTCTGGAATAGGAGGTCGAAGAGTGTTCTTCACGATTCCCCCTGTGTTCAAAAGTTTCCAAATCAGGTGAAAAAATTAAAATAAAGATAAATAGAATCCATACTAATCGTAATTTAAAGCAAGCAGAACATGCAAAAATACAAGAATCTAAGTCTGCAGGCGTCAATGTTATGTTTGCTATTGAATTTAAAAATTACTAGCTCGAGGTGTGGTTGGAAGATATGTTCTACCTTGAGCTAAGAGACCCATGAATTAATATCCTGATGCATACAGCAACAATGGCCCAAATGGAAGCAAGGATTTACAGCACCAAGCATAACATTTTTGAAAAGGTAAACAGAAAGCTAAAACTTCCGCCAAGAGATTTTGAATCAACAAAATTTCTTTTATAAAAGAACTCATTTTATTGCCCTTCAGTTATCACATGGAACTTCCATTCAAAATCAATACTGATGATAAGAAGGTCCATGACATAATCTTACCAATGATGGCACCACAATGCATATTCGCGTATGGTTCCTCCCCAGTCAAGATCTCCCACATTGAAATTCCAAACGAGAACACATCCACCTGTCAAAAAATAATGCCAATTACGTTAAAAAACAATCCATTTTTGCCTTCTACATTACAGCACCAAGCATAACAGTTCTACTAACCTTCTCAGAAACCCGGCTGCTGCTACCATTTAATAATTCTGGTGCCATCCAAGGAAGAGTTCCTCGCACACCACCAGATACCAAAGTATTGCGTTTGATTCTCGATAAACCAAAATCTCCAACCTAAAAGCATGAAACCCCAATCACCAGTATTAAAGGAAAATCCAAGCAATAAGTCTCCTGGGAAAACCTCAAAGAAAGAAAGAAATGTGATATTTGGCCGAACTTCCACATAAAAGGTCCCGCAAAGGATACATGTATGTATAATTATGACTTTCCAGCCTCTTTGTGAGGGAAAAGAAAGCCCCCACTGGATCTCCCCAATTTCATGATCAGGGAAACTGTTGGCATTGAAATACTTACTATATGGTTTTGATAAAATTTGCACTTCTTTTAAGGCATTTCACGGTCTGGAATTGTATAAAGACTACAAAGAAAGATGCTTTCCTGTGAAGTGCATTTATGTCAGCCCTTGAATATGAAACTAGGTTTCAATCTAATTTACCTTGCATATAGGTCGTTGAGGATCCCTCAAGTTGACTAGCAGATTGTCACACTTCAAATCAAAATGGACAATATTCTTTGAATGCAAGTATTCCATGCCGAAAGCTGCATCCATTGCAATTATAAGCTTTCTACGACGGTCAAGTGATCTGCATAATGAATCCTCATGTTCTAAGATATGCAGAAAAAACTGTAAGAAGCAAATAAAGCAAAGAAATGATATCAAAATTACCTATCCTTCTTAAGTAGTGCATGCCTAAGTGACCCATTGACCATGAATTCGGCTACAGTTGCCAACGTACCACCAGCTCCGTCAGGTACTACCCCATAGAATGCAACCACATTTGGATGATGAAGATTTGAAAGGATCTGCGCCTCTCTCCAGAAGTCTTTTGTCTGGTACAGCCAAATTCAACTATCAACTTCACATGTGTATCAAATTACGATTCAAATTATCACTGAAATTTATAGATAACTACTTGGCAGTCTATAAGGTATACAACATATTCCAGATTTAAATGATACCCTGTTTTAGGACAGGCAGTATAATATAACAAATGCCAGAAGCCAAAGAATCTTTGAATTAATCAAAAATTTAATGTCACAGCTTATTGTCCAAGGAAGAGTTCTAAGATGTTGGCTTTCTTCAACACCAATTATGCAGGAAATGAGAAAGAATAAAGCAAACAGATTGGAAAGAATGTTCAGCAGACCCACCAGTCGGTCTTGCTCTGATGATCTCCCTGCAAAACAGCTCTTTTTAATTCGCTTGATCGCAACATCTGTTCCCCGCCATTTTCCATGATACACAGTTCCATATGTACCAGATCCTAATTCCCGTAATTCTTCCAGATCAGCATTTTTTATAATCTGGACATCATATTCAGAAGATTCAGTTGCATGAAGAAACCAAACTTCTATGAGTACCCACAAATGACAAAATGACAGGAAGCTGGTGTTTCACAAAAGAGAGGGCATTTCAGTCATACTTTTATCAAAGGAGCAACACAAATCCCATCTAAAACAATCAAAGACAGTAAGAGAATTCACACGCATAAGTGATTTGTTGTTTCACGAGTAAGCAAACTGCACCACACATCCCTTTGTTTATCAGTGAATATAGCTCTCTCTCTATAGACTACAAACACACGCATAAATATTATCAAGTCAGAAACTCGACAAGAACTTTTGTCACTGCAAAGTATTTAGCTCTGTATTCCTAAAGAAAAATTGGCCACAAGTCAAAACTGTATACTCCAAATTTAGTGGTTATAGGCGAGAGATGCAAGAACCATCTCTTCTTATTAGGCAAAAACACAGTATTAGGAATTTAGGAGGCATGAGAAAGGTTGATAATGAAATGTATTATATTTACCAGGGAGATAATCTCATCATATGTAACCATCAGATGCTAGATCTTTTTTAGAAAATAAGAAAGTAAAGAACTCTCTCTTCTTTAAAGAAATAAATAATCAGTTTTACACTTTCCAATCAACACAATTATTAATGTCCTTAATGTTCACTGACAAGGCCAAGAAATCTTGTCAAAACATGTTATATAGCATGCTGCATCGTACGCTGGAGTGACAGAGGCTCCAGTCAGCAAACATACAATTTTGCCAAACATGAAACAAAATATGCATTTGCAGTATGTTAAATGAAAACATGTCCTAATCAAGAAAAATTAAGACATTGGAAGAATACCTGCAAGCCATAGATGCTGGCTTCCATTTCAGCTATCATTGCATCACTAAATGATTCACTCTTGTCTCCCTCACTGACCCTATCATCCTACAAATATAACAAGCTGGAATTCAAGCCCACAAGTAGATACATAATTTACAAAATCAGTTCCAGAAAATTTAATCAATTCTACCTCATATTCAGAATCTGGAATGATGCTCTCCACCTCTGTTGCAGTAGGGGATATGAGATCACCAATGGGTTCATCCACAGAATATGGGGAAACTACTGATGAAAACTGGATGCCAGGAGTAATAGTGTCGGTTACGTCTTCCACAATTATCACTGACTCCAACTGCTTTTTATCATTACTCATTGTTAGGGATTTTGGTTGTCTCAGAGCAACATTTTCAACAACATTCGAGCTCAACTTCTCAGCATTCTCATCAGGGCAATTTACAAAGTCATCGTCAATGAGAGAGACCCCTCTTTTAAATGCAGCATCTTGGATTGGGTTCTGCAACACCCTATGGTCACTGTCTTGCAACTCAGGGTCATCAAGAACTGTCGACGGGTACATCTTTGCAGAGTGTATTAGCAGGGGTTCTTGGAAACCTACATCCTTTTGACTCGCAACAAGTTGCGGACGTGCAGGTTCATGGTAGTTTGGGCCATCGGACAACCCTGAGATGAGATCTGCCAAAGAATTTTCATTACGAGAATGCTGTCTAGTACTTGGAAATAATCCTGCAACTTCAGAATTCCTGGCCCCTGAAACATCCTGTCCTTGTTCACCATTTGCAGTCCCTGTCAAAGCACAATCCTGATCATTGGCAGTTCTTTGGCTCGTGACAAGAATATTGATAGGGGTTTTGTCATGTTGGAAGTTCTTAGGTTCCTCCATCTTGTTATCTACCAAAGGTTTCAAACTAATGGCTGCAGGAATGACAACCCCAGAAGCAAAACTAGATGTTGGGTTGGGATTTATATTAGGCAATCCATTCCGATACTCAACACCAGTGGCAGGTGATCTTGTCCCATAAAGGGTCTCATCTTGATGAAGGAAAGGATCCTTTTCATTAAACTTCTTTGTCAGTTCCGAAGGCAAAGAATCTTTCTTTTTAGATGTCCAGTATTTTTCAGGAATATCACCATTACCTTTGGGAGCATGTTCATTCCTGCCCAAAGATTCTAAACACGGAGAAGAATTTGGCAAATCCAGTCTTCTCTGCAATCCAATTGACTCCATACCATGTAACTGATTTTGCAGCTGA